TATATATATATATATATATATATATAACATATATCATTTGGAGCATGTTGTTAAACATTTCTACACCAATAAGTCCAGTCATTAAGCTAATATTACTGCCACCTGTTGGTAGAATTAGAAATAGTAGTCATTTAATTATCAGTAGTGATATACTCTAAGATTTTTTGTCATTTTCAACAGAAGAATATGTGTTTACCCTCAAATATTGTTATAAGTGCATGAAACAAGAAAAAGTGTGAATTTTTACATTATTCATCTAATATCATTTGCTACTCCTAAAACACTTCTGTAACTGGTTAATACATTTGAGAAAACTGAACATTTTTTTATTATACGATAAAAGAAAATGTAGCATACTTTTTTGCCATCTTTTAGGTTGGCCAAAACACACTCTATATGAGTATAGCTGTACAGTAGAACCACTCACTGAGTCATTGTTAGGTATCTAAAACTCTCCAGAAAAACATTCACTATATGTTTAAAATCGTGCAGGAGAACCAATCATTTTGTCATTTTTGGGTTAGCTAAAACTCTCCAGAACACCACTCACTATATGAATAAAACTGTGCAGTACTACTAATCTTTCAGTTTTTTGTTTTTTTGGGGGGGGGGGGTTCAAACAATTAAAACACTCAATATATGAGTTATACTGACTAACTTAAATCCTTTAGATTAGGTATTTACTTTAGTGAAGGTGTATGATAAGTATTTCAGCTTAAGTGTGTGTGACTTGTTTTTTTGTATTTTATATTTGGAATAGAGAATAATATTGAAAGAAATGATGAATAGGTTAATTTATTAGTTTTGCTTATCTAATTGATGTTATTCATTACATATAACACAAAAGGCCAAATATTAAAATTTATAAAATAGCTCAACCTTGAATTTATAATAATGTCATGCCTATCAGATGATTTCCTTGTATTATTATGCTTCTAGAAATTTTCCAAAAGTCTGAATATCTTAATACTTATGTTTTCAATTTCTAGTTTATTTCATTTTCACATAGTTATGGTTGTTGTTATTTTTTCTTTTTGATACTAGACGATGAAGAAGAAGTTCTTTGTACTGAAATCACAATCTGCTTGTAGTCCAGCAAAATTAGAATATTATGACACAGAAAAGAAGTGGAGAGCAGGGGCTCTCCCAAAACGGAACATCGTCCTCAAGACTTGCTTCAATATTAACAGGAAATTTGATGCTCGACATAAGTTTGTCATAGCCCTCTATACGAAGGATGACTGTTTAGGACTAGTGGCAAATAGCCAGGTGGAGCTGGAGGAGTGGCTCACTGCACTCTTGGAACTCCAACATTATGGCAGTAATACACCTGGAGACAGCAAACCCAAACCTTATTTTGGTAAGATATATCTTAATCATGTTAATATGTAGTTTTTTGTAACACTGTTTGAATACAAGCCTTTTACTACTACTTTCTGTTGATAATTCTTTTTTGCTTTTATTGAACATCTACATGTTATTTATATCAACCTCAGTGGCCAAGTATTCAAGCTTTGCCTTTCATGGTCTAAAATTTGAGAACAAGTAATTTTGAAAAGTTGTACATTATATTAGAGAGAATATGCAAATATATTACACAGTGATCCAAAGAGATTTTGAATTTTGTAACAATTATTACTTCTATTCAGAATTTTGTTTTGCAAACAACTGTGACACTGCATTGAGTGCATTCAGTAGGAAATCATTTTGAATCAACTTCTATAGCATTTGACTTTGAAATTTGTGTCTTCTTGTAGGCCCAGAGTTCTTATAAAAAACGTTATGTATTACAACTGACATTTGTATTTTGATGATTTTCTGAATTTGAACATATGTTTAATTTTCAGAACAATTATTTTTTGTTTTTAAAGTGTGCAATCATTTTATCAGCCACAGATATGGCTCGTGTCATTTTAGTTACTCTTGCTTCTTAATTATTGTTTTCTTACCTTTTGATGTCTGACTAGCATATGAAGAATTTAATTTTTAATAAGTGGTATATTCATCTACTTTTGTTTTTGCAAAAAAACAAAAATCACAGAATGCTGATTTTTGACATAGTTCTTGGAACCAATTTATAATAGAGTTGATAACGTTTTAGTTATGCCCATGTACATCTAGAATGCTGTCTAAACCAGAATCTCTTTTAGCATCTTTTTCTTTTACTTGCATGTAAAACATTATTCCCAAAATATATATATGTAGACATATTCTCTGCAAATATTTTTTGTTTGATTGATTTTTTTTAACTTGTGTACATTAACTAAAGGTAATTGTGTGATTTATAAAAATATGGATTATTATATTAAGATCTTGTATCAATTTTATAAGTAGAGCTGTACAAATATGTTAACAGTAAAATTTCAGCAAACAAGTTTTATACACACACACACACACACACACACACACACACATACATACATACACATATATATATACACTCAAAAATTTAATGCCTGTTAGAATAAGCTCAGTAAATTAGTGTATTTTGTACATGATAGTTGCTTTCGTTTTGCCTTTTAATTTACTTGGATTCATATTTTATAGGATGCCATAAAAAAAGGTATAGTTATGCAAATATTCACAATACATACTATCAAAAACTCATATTTATTTCATATTTCTGTTGGAAAAGACTAGAATTTAATCCACTGAGCAGCCAATTGGGTTTCAAGTTTGTGTCATGATGACAGGTTTTTTTGGTTTTTTTCCCTTGTGTTATAAATGTCAAGGTTACCTTTTACCACTGACTTCATAATGAAGATGTGGTTGTGGTTTCCATGTGTTTGTTCTTAAGTGTCAGAAACTTGCTACTCAAGTGCAGTGACTGGTTTGTTGTTGAAATATGTTTTTAAGATTGTAGGCTCTTTTTTTTTCCACAAAGTTTTGAATGCCAAAAAAAAATAGCACTTTGTAAGTTAAGACGAGGAATTGTATAAATATGCCATTCATTTTTTTTTTGTTGCTTCATCATTTATACCTGGTCTTCATTGCTTATCTGTATTACTGATTTTTGTGGTTATAGTTAAGTAGAGCACTAGCTGACAATTTCAGGAGTTTCACTGATAGGTTCTTGTCTCTCATGTGGAGACCAGCTGCCTTTCAGGAGATAGAAGAGAGTTCCTCTATTGATGCTACCAGTGGCCTTGTGGCTATGAACTGCCCTATTGATTTCCTGCCTGTTGCTTTCCTTAGCTACACCATAGGGTACTTTGTTTTCCAGTAGTCTCAATCCCTCTGAATGTCAATGAAGACCTTTCATGGATGTCACATTTGCCTCATTAATGCAGAGGAGGTTGATATCCTGCCAGCACAGTTGTGCTGGATTTGATAAAGAGGCTTCTCTTTCAACCCTGTCATCTTCCTTCCTCTTTAGCTTTACCCCTGTATGGCCTGACACATACTATCAGGTGATGACCATACCATCCAGTTAGTTAGTATTCTGCCATCCATTGGGGACCAACCACTCCGAATTTTATGCAGTACTGCCTGTGAGTCAGTGGTAAGTATTATGCTGGTGGAACTGTTTACTTGCAATTTGTTGTTTTCAACAATCCATAGGTGAGTCAGTGGTAAGTATTATGTTGCTGGAACTGTCTACTTGCAATTTGTTGTTTTCAACAGTCCAGAGGTGAGTCAGTGGTAAATATTATGTTGGTGGAACTGTCTACTTGCAATTTGTTGTTTTCAACAATCCAGAGGTGAGTCAGTGGTAAGTATTATGTTGGTGGAACTGTCTACTTGCAATTTGTTGTTTTCAACAATCCAGAGGAGAGATTGCTTTATGACTTCCAGCTTCATCCTTGTGCTGCTTTTGGGAAGTTTGAATGCTCTCTCAGCCTTATACAGAATGTTGTTGCTCATTGAGACAGTGAATATCCAACCTGCTTTCTTGCTGTCTTTGGTGTAGCAACCACCGGTGGCTATGATGACAGATGACGGTCTTTAAGTAGGTGCTGACAGACATTTTCTATTCATTACTCTATGGTTATAATAATTTCTTTAATGTTTTAAGACAGGAACCTTGTATTAGCATTTCTACTATACCATGATAGCATTCACATCAAATAACAGGGTTATGGGTAAAATATAAATTAACATGTTCATAAATTTACAACTGAATTTTTTTAGACAAGCACAAATATAACTCTTTTCTTTGGCTGGTAATTTTTATAGAATGCTTGAATCCTATAGTGATAGCAAGTTTAATTAGAAACAGAATATGTAGTCTACTAAAATTTTAATACACAGAACATTGAGAATTTTACTGCTTGTTATGCAGTATCGGGGATAACTTCTTTTTTTTTATTGTTTATCCATCTACTTGAATGGATTATTTAAAATAGATTTTGTTAAATACGTGGATATACCGATAGGACAATCAGCCACTTGTTCGTCAATAATCTGATTTAATTTTTTCCCGCTATTACCTACTTAGGATTCTTTGCGGCCCTTTAAATTTGTGTAAAATAAATAGTCAATTTTTCTTGCATTTTTCAATTATGTTTTAGACAACCATAAAAATCAAATTTTACGTATTTTTTCTTTTAAATTGAACTTAAAGATGTATAGCGTGAATCGTATTTTCGTTGTTTCGTATACAGTTTAACTAGAGTAAGCCATGAATATTACGTGTGTGTGTGTGTGTGTGTGTTACGTCATACGTATTTACCAGCATCTGTAAAAATCCGGTGATCAAGACTGTAATAAGTTGCGTAATATGTGATACTAGAAACAGATCACGCTAATTAACCTTATTGATCTAATTGATTATAAACTCCACAGTTTGTTTTCCGGTCTTGAGAATGAGTATATTTAGTGTGTAAAGTATTTTCGTTGAAACAATATTAATCCAAAAATTAACGGTTTGATATGGAATTCGCGTTTTTCTGAACAACTTGTATCAAATTGATTGTGTGTCCCTGACTAAATGTACGAATCACACTAAAAACATAAACTAATATACCACGAATATTGCATTTAATTCTACTAATTACTGCTGGATTATCTTGCGTATATTACTTAATAAATTAATTATTTCACTCTCTTCTTTTGACCAGGTTTTTATTTACTTTTTTATACTCTGAGTGTATAAACAAATATACCACGAATATTACATTTAATTCTACTAATTACTGCTCGGTTCTCTTGCGTATATTTCTTAGTAAATGAATGATTTCACTCTCTTCTTTTGACCAGGTTTTTATTTATATTTTTATACTCTGAGTGTATAAACAAATATACCACGAATATTGCATTTAATTCTACTAATTACTGCTCGGTTCTCTTGCGTATATTACTTAGTAAATGAATGATTTCACTCTCTTCATTTGGCCAGTTTTTATTTACTTTTTTATACTCTGAGTGTCGTAACAGACTAAAACATAAAATTACTCAATCCGATGCTCTATGCATGTATATATATATATGGATCCCACCGGTTATGAACGGTATATAAACAAGTCGTAATTCGATGGTTAAATTATTTATATTTTACTTATTACTTAAGCATAAACACAAGGTTGAACTGTTAATACGAAAATACAAGATTTTGCACATAAGCAAAGACCTTTTCCCATCAGAACGTTTGAGTATTACCTTCGTCCGTAATATAAATGTGCGTGCTCTGCACTACAGATCATGTTATACTAAGCGTGAAACTTGAGCGTTTATAACCTAATTGGGTCAGCACGTCAGTCACTCGTATCTACATATTATTAATCGTTTGTCAAAACTTATTACCTAAACTTTCGCTATATTGTAATACAGCGTAGGAAGTCGAATAATAATTTAAGCATCACTTCTTCAAGGCCATTGAAATTATATTGAAACACGGCAATCTTTTGATAAAGGAAAACGAAATCCCGCCTAGTTTCAACTGTTTTGTTTTCCTGCATGCAATACTGGAGCTAAAACCGTAGACAAATTTACAAAGAGGAAACCAGTAATAATAATATAGCAGTGTGTTTATGGACTCGTTATAACATCAACATACATTTACAATAATTAAAATTTTTACAGTTTTTACCGCACTAAATAATAAACAAATTTATTTACATAGATAAAGAAGATTTAACCAAAAATAATTTTTGTTATCCGCGAAAACTAAATCCTGAAATAAAAATGTGCAACAGACACGTGACAGTTAATTGAAATTACAAGAAAGAATATAAACTACTTTTTTTTTTACCCAATCACATAATTAGCACAACAGAAAACTTGGAATAAATACCCATCCATTGGAAAACTAGCTATAAACGCCACATAACGTGGCCTAAAGCCATATAATACAAGAGACAAGCTCAATTTTATGATTCTGGAACGACTAGATTCACGAACTCGGTCTAAATAGGAGTCTGC